CTCTAATCGCGCTTGAGGCGCCGCAGCACTTCCCGACGCTGATTGAAGCGCGTCCACCATAGACTTTGCATGTAAACCTGATGCTCCTGATGCTGAAATCACGTTCCGTGTGAACGCAGCATTAGTCTTAGTCACATTGAGCTGTAGGTGGTTCTGCTCGCACCAGGAGACAAAGTCCTTAACGTGGCTCTGTACTCGTCCTCATCACCGCCGCTGATGCATCCAACTACTGCTGAGTCATCAGAAAACGTCTGAAGATGGCAGGACTCTGTGCAGTAGTTGAAGTCCGTGGTGTAGAGTGTGAAGAGCAATGCAGAGAGGACAGTTCCTTGTGGAGCTCCGATGTTGCAGACCAGTCTGTCAGACACAGTTCTGTAGTCGTACGTACTGTGGTCTGCCAGTCAGGTAGTCCATGATCCAGGACACAAGGAGGGCATCCACTGCATCCCTCTCAGCCTGTCCCCAGGAGAGCAGGCTGCATTGAAGGCACTGGAGAAGTCGAAGAACATGACTCTCACTGTGCTGGCTGGCTTGTCCAGGTGGGCATAGACTCTGTTCAGCACATAGATGATTGTGTCCTCTGTTCCTAGGCGGGGCTGATACTGAAGGGGATCCAGGTGTGGCTGAACAATGGGGCGTAGTTGTTCCAGAACGAGCCTCTCCATGGTCCTCATGATGTGTGAGGCCTGTAGTCCTCGTTGTTACTGGGTTGTGTTGTTTTTGGGACTGGAACGATGCAGGATGTCTTCCATATCGCTGGGACTCTCTGCAGACTCAGGCTCATGTTAAAGACATGCTGCAGAACTCCACAGAGCTGGGTGGCACAGTCTTTAAGCACTCTGGGTACGACACCATCAGGGGCCAGCAGCCTTGTTAATGTGGAGTTGTGATGACTGTGGGGGAGATGGGTGGAGGTGATAAGTGGAGGAAGGGGTGTGGTGTGAGGTGGGCTGTTAGGAAGCAGACTCTCGGGGAGGGATGTGAAATGAATATCATTTAAAATATTTATCAGTTTGACTTGTTTAATAACTAATGTTTGTTTTGAATGAAACCCTTTAAAGCTGCTGGTCTGCTGTCCCATGTCCCCCAAACCTCTGGAGCCTCTGGCCACAAAACTCCTGAAAGGAGTCCTGGTTCTGGAGGTGCTGGGTGTCTTAGGAGCCTATGCCCTATACCAGAAGATGAACTCCAGCCAAGGTATCAGAACCAGTCCCAAAGAACCATCGACCAGTTCTTTAGAACTATGGACCAGTCCTTTAGAACCATAGACCAGTCCTATAGAAAAATAGACCAGTCTTATAGAAAAATAGACCAGGCTTATAGAAAAATAGACCAGTCCTACAGAACCATAGACCAGTCCTATAGAACCACAGACCAGTCCCATAGAATCGTAGACCAGTCCTTTAGAGCCGTAGATCAGTCCTATAGAACAATAGACCAGTTCTATAGAACCATAGACCAGTCCTATAGAACCATAGACCAGTCCTGTAGAAAAATAGACCAGTCTTATAGAAAAATAGACCAGTCCTACAGAACCATAGACCAGTCCTATAGATCCAGTGACCAGTCCTTTAAAACCATAGACAAGTCCTTTAGACCCATAGACCAGTCCTATAGATCCAGTGACTAGTCCTTTACAACCATGGACCAGTCCTTTAGAACCATAGACCAGTCCTATAGAAAAATAGACCAGTCTTATAGAAAAATAGACCAGTCCTATAGAAAAATAGACCAGTCCTATAGAAAAATAGACCAGTCCTATAGAAAAATAGACCAGTTCTATAGAACCATAGACCAGTCCTATATATCCATAGACCAGTCCTGTAGAAAAATAGACCAGTCTTATAGAAAAATAGACCAGTCCTACAGAACCATAGACCAGTCCTATAGATCCAGTG